TTTTGAGTTTTGAGTGACTCAGGGGTTGAATTGTAGGGATTATGGTGTGTGTGTGTGTGACGCACTGTTGCACACATTCCCGAAAGAACGTGGCTTGTGCTTGTAGAGTACTCTGTATACGGGCGGTTTCTCTAAGCTTCAGAAGACTCGAGGGTTTCTGTCCAGGATTGCATCATGAAGCCGTCCCGAAGGGTTGTGGGGGTTCAACCACTCCTCATTTTTGATTAGGGATCCCTGACTGTAACATTTTAAATAGAATCTCCTGTAACATGCCGTGCCCCCCAAAAAGCAAGGGGTCCAAACCACATCTAGGGTTATAAACATCTGCATCTATATCTATGTATATACTATGTATATATATATATATACATATCTCAAGGCTGGAAGGGGGTTGTTCAAGGTTCGGTACTGAAAGGGTAGGGCGCATCGTTGCGGTTGTGGCTGTGTGAGTTTGATGAACCCTGAAGCAAGCCCCGCGAAGACAGAACAGAATCTGAACCATTTAGCTTGTGACGATGTGCATATGAGAAGGTTTTGCAGCAGCTCGACTCTACTCTTGTCTACGACGCGCCCAAGCCATTGTAAAGAGCGATGGCGAATTCCCAGCTGCTGCGCAGACGTCGCCAATATGCTCCACCCGCTTTCATCCCCCCCCCCCCCCTCCCCAACCCACTCCTTCATGGACAACTCTACCACTCTTTCAACAATCTACTCGACTAGCCTCTCCGAAGTCCTTAGATTCGAGAGAATCCGAGCCCTAAACTGGGAGCCTCCATCTTCTCGACCAGCTCCGGGCGCTCCAGCAGGTACTTTGTCCAGGCCGCGCGCCAGTTAGAATGCACCTGGATGGGCGTGGGAGATGGCAAGCATTTTTTTTTTTGGGGGGGGGGGGGGGAAGGGAGGTGTGCTTAATGTGGGTACCTACGTACCTACTAAGTATAAGGCCCTGCAGAATCAGAAAACAGGCCCTTAATGTGGGCACCCTGCTAAGTATAAGGGTCCATCGGTACATGCCAGGTCATAATTGGTGCTTACCATGATTTGGTTTCAGCACACAACGGGACCTTGCTGCAGGAAGCGTTGAGGCAACGACTTTCGTCAAAACGGCTTTCTGAACACGCCAGGGTTGCTTTATGTTTGGTTAGTGTCTGAGAGCCTTCTGACCCGATTCTGAAGCTCACCTGTAAGCTTTGTTGAAGCGAAAGGCGTTAGTTCGAGCCGAGCCGAAGCTGAACGTTGTCCACCCTCTGGTGGGTGCTTATCGAGTTCATGGTTGGGCTAATATTAAACATGTAAATGTATATTCCTTATTGAGTTTAAGTATCCTTAAACATGTAAAATGTTACCCTACTATGGTTCAGTTATATCATTGGCGGAACTCACACCTAGGTGCGGAAGACACGGACTAAACAATGCCGGAAAGGCAGCATGTGCAAAGCAGCGCGCGATGCCAGCGCATGGCCATCAACCCTGAACCCTGCTCCTGGACCCGAAGCCCTGTGCTTTACATTCTGAGTCCGAAACTGCAAAAGCTCAACTTGAACCCGGAGCCCTAGGTCCCAGCACCCTAAACCCTCAAACCTTTGAACCCCGGCTGGGCACCTGCAAACGACACAGAAACATGCTAGGGCCCTCTCCGCCCCCCCCCCCCCCCCCCCCCCCCCCCCCCCCCCCCAACGAATAGGACCCCCTTGCAATAAGGACCCCGAATCTCCTAAGCCCCCATAGTGCGCCATGCATCTTGAAGCTTTGAGAAAGGGGGGTGGGAGGTTCGGGTTTAGGGCTCAGTGTTACCCCTGAAGCACAACCCCCCCCCCCCCCCCCCCCCTAAACGCTAAGTAAGCCTAAACCCTAAACCCTAAACCCTAAACCCTAAACCCTGAACCCTGAACCCTGAACCCTGAACCCTAAACCCCAAACCCCAAACCCCAAACCCCAAACCCTAAACCCCCCCCCCCCCCAAGGCCTGCATGTCAACCATCTGGTTGTCCATGATGGATGCCAGGATTGCTGCGCCGAGAGCCACGGCCTGCCAGGTGAAAGGAGCCACCGAGCTGCTTTTTTTGGTTGAGGGTGTAGGGTTTAGGGTTTAGGATGCAAGTTAACCTAAACGACTCAAGCCCAAACAACCTAAAAGTTAGAAGTTACAAGCCGCAAAGCCATAGACGCCTAAGCCTACAGAAGCGCTACAACCCCGCAATAGTTCAAAGTTCCAGCCGCTGCTGGGAATAAGCCCTGCGCGAACCCAAGGGTTTAGGGTTTAGGGTTTAGGGTTTAGGGTTTAGTGTTTAGGGTTTAGGGTCCGCCGACCCTGGCGGCGTGTTGGATGGGAAAAGGAGGTGAAAACCTCCCTCTTTCCCCCCTTACCCCCCCAAAACGGGGGGGTGGGGGGGGTCGGTGCACAATTTTTTCGTGGAGGACGGCGCCACCCGCACAGCGTAAACAGGCGGTTCAGCACAGGGGGGTAGGGGCGCCCTCAGCAAAATCAGCGTTTTTGGACCCCCCCAACCCCCCCCACCCCCCCCCCCCCCCCCCCCCCCCCCCCCCCCCCCCCCCCCCCCCCCCCCCCCCCCCCCCCCCCCCCCCCCCCCCCCCCCCCCCCCCCCCACCCCCCCCCCCCCCCCCCCCCCCCCCCCCCCCCCCCCCCCCCCCCCCCCCCCCCCCCCCCCCCCCCCCCCCCCCCCCCACCCCCCCCCTCCCACCCCCCCCCCCCCCCACCCCCCCCCGCTCCAGCGGGGTCGGCGGCTTGAGCCGGAGGCTCTTAAATTTCTGGTTGTTCCAGCCCAAAGCTGCGACTCCTGGACCCTCGCACCGAAAGCCGTTCCGCTGTGACCCAACACCCACAAACCCCAATGACGCCCAACAGGCTATACACCCCAAGTTGAATCATGAGCCTTCGTGTTTAAGGGTTTAGGGTTTAGGGTTTCGGGTTTTCAGGCCCTAAAGCCCCGATCCTCAGGTGAGGTCTACAAGCCTTGTGCGGAAAAAATCCATTGCGAAACAACATCCATCCCCACAACCTCAACCCAACCCTCGCAGCCCCAAGCCCCAAGCCCTAAGCCCTAGGCCCTAGGCCCTGAGCCCTGAACCCGAAACCCTAAACCCAAAACCCTGCCGTCTCCGGATCAATGACCGCGCTAGTGGGTTGCACCCCAGTGCACAGAGTCAGCATCTCACGAACGGCTGGCGTCCTCCAGGTGGATGGTCGTGTGAGAGTTTTGGGTGTACAGTGGGCGTTAAGTTTGGGGTTTATTTGGGTTTAGGGAGTTGAGAGTTTAGGGTTTAAATTTAGGCTTTAGGGTTTAGGGAACCTATGTTCAGAATCCAAAGGTAAAAGTGGGGACAAGGCCAAGTTTGAACGTGCTTTTCAGTTTTCAGTATGCTTCAGCATAGCCTGCGCATCAGTTGGACTTCCGTACATCGATCCATATCGATCCGGTGTACTGCATCCCTAAACCCTAAACCCTAAACCCTAAACCCTAAACCCTAAAAAAACCCGTTCTACCCCGTTGCTAGCAAAAATCCTTCAGGGCCTGGCCATTCGGATGACATGGCCTCGGCGCCCATCCTGGCATTACCTACAAGCCATGTCCTGCACCTGGGTTGAGGTTTGCGGGTTGAGGGTTTTAGGGTTTTAAGGTTTTAGGGCCTTCGGGCTTTCTGGCTAGGGAATCATAGCCTAAACCCGAAACTCCAAACCCCAAACCCTAAGCAAACCCAAGCATGCAGCTGTCCAGGTCGCTGCGCCGATAAGCAGGATTTCGTCCACCATGATTTCCTCGCGGTCCTTGCGGGAGGAACAGCGTAGAGTTTTGAGCATGTTCTGTAAGTTCGGAGATATAGGGTGCAGTGGATTTTGGTGGGATGAAGGTCTATTTTTAGGGGGTTTAGGGTTTAGGGTTTGGGGCTCAGGGTACCAGAGGGGGTACTTCAGGGGGAGCCGGCACGCCACCGTCCTCCACGTCGCTGGACTTGTGCTTTGCCCGCAAGGAGCGGGTCTTTCTTTGGAGGTCCTTTGCGACCCGAAGACTCCAATGCCACTGACTACTCTTTACGTAAGAACCCTTGAACCCCCCCCCCCCAAAAAAAAAAAGATATTCTCCTTCTGCGGGAAATGTAGAGATTATTAACTTCAATTTTTGGGGGCGTTCTTTATGCAAATAGTAGCTGACTGAAGGACTATCAATTGAATGATACTCCTGATTCAGGCGTATGGGGGGTGTCTGGACAGCCGACGCCCCATGTTGTCTGCAGCTGTACTGCCCTTTGATCATATTTTAATGTTCCCTTGAGGTTTAGGGTTTAGGGTTTAGGGTTTAGGGTTTAGGGTTTCTACAGACAAAAAGAAAAAACATAAATCGAAAGGAAACGTTGCTGGTCTCCGTACCATCAGTCCTTCTGGCTCAACTTCCTGCCGGCCGCGTGCGAGCTAGGCATGTACTCGTGAACCTAAGGGTATGTGTCAACTTCATCCCTACCAGGATGGGCTATCCTACCTTACAACCCCTTTCAGAAGGCCCTTTGTAGGGGTTGATTTTGCACTTGGTAGCCCAGTAACCATACTAACATAAGGGCAGAGCACCCTCTTTTGGGTTGGTTAATCTATAAGGGCACCCAGAACCAAAAACCATCACCCACAAAAAGGGGTAAAGCGTGCCACTGGGCTACCAAGAGAAGGCCTAAGAACCCATCCTGGTAAGCTGCGGAGTACGTTTTCCGTTGCCCCAACCGGCATCGCGCCTCTTCCGGGCCCTTCCGGCGGCATCCATGGTCTCAATCGCCAGGCTTTCGAAAGGCAGGCCTGGGGATTTTCGAACCCCCCCGAAATGTACTTAGACCCTGAAGCCACCCCAATCAGACCTCAAGAAATGGCGTCTAAGCCCTCTATCGATATTACACCCTAAACCCCTACATGCCAAAATGCACACGAAATCCGTGATAGCTGCACTTTGGCGCCATGCGCTCTTGTGGTTTCCCCTACTGAGGGCCGAGATGCGCAAGTGCGCGCCATACGCCGCTTCGCGAATGGGCTGCAACATGCGCTCTAGCACGGCCAGGCCTCGGTAGGGTTTAGGGTTTAGGGTTTAGGGTTTAGGGTTGAGGGTTGAGGGTTGAGGGTTGAGGGTTGAGGGTTGAGGGTTGAGGGTTGAGGGTTGAGGGTTGAGGGTTTGGGGTTTGGGGTTGGGGATTTGGGGTTTAGGGTTTGGGGTTGGGGATTTGGGGTTTGGGGTTTGGGGTTTAAGGCCTAAGAAACAACACTGTTGCGATGAGGGCGAACCTGTCTTCGTTTATAAAGGAGCCCAGAAGACAAAAAGGGACCAACAAAAAGGTACCAGCGGGCTTCCTAGAGGCAAACAACTCGGAAGTTGTCCTTGCTGACAGTCACCTTCACGGCGCAACGGATCCACAAAAACGAGAGCTTGGAACACAATGGCACTATGAAGGTAAGATCAGAGATCGGCAATATATATATATATATATATATATATGTATACATTTATTTATTGCCTTCTGCTCTAAGCAAAAGATGGCCCAGTAGACTTTTCTTGCAAGAAAATCTACGTGTGCCTGGAGATCATCCAGGAGGATGTCGGCTGTGTCGCTGCTCGACAGCCGCTCCTTGGCCTGCACCATGGGATGCTAAGTGTACCTTCCTTGCTATAACTAGTACATGGTTGGGATAAATTTATATTCCTTACCGGGTTTAAGTACCCTTAAAAATGTAAAATGTTACCCAACTATGACAAAGATAAGGGACTCCTACTGGGGGGGGTCCCTGATTTTCGTAAACTCCACATTCCACAAGCACCACCAGCCGTGCCTTGCGTGCCTGCACCAGCAGCTTCTGTCTCTCAATAGCAGGCAAGGGCCACCTCCTAAGAAGATCGGGCTCTGTGGAGGTCTAAACCCTAAACCCAAACCCTAAACCCAAACCCTAAACCCTAAACCCTAAACCCTAATTGAACCCTAAATCCTAAACCCAGACAGTAGGATTTGGCGACTCCCAGATTTCAAGTCAAAGGCCTTCGAAAAAGAGATCCTAGGCATGATGTAGGGTCGAGATTGGGTTACATCATTAGGGTCTACATCCTGGGCTATATATATATATATATATTGGGTTTTAGGATTACGGTCCATTTCCATGTAGGGGCTTGATCCAGGCCCTAGAATCCACATAATCAACCCTATACAGGGGCCTTTTTGAGGGGTTCTAGGGTCTAGTAGCCCGTCCTGGTAGGAGTTACTGTAGGGTCTCGAGTCTAAGATCTCGGGAGAACTCGGGAGAAGCGTAACCCTAAACCCTAAAGCCTAAACCCGAAACTCTAAACCAACTGCTGTCTGGCGGCCGCCGCTGTGTCAGCTCTGACTTCAGCTCTTTGAGGACCCAATCCTCACAAGCGCACCGGTGTCGAGCACAAAGACGGTTTAACCGTATAAACCCTAAACCCTGCACCCTACAACCTAAACCCTAAACCCTAAACCCTGAACCCTACAACCTAAACCCTAAGCCCTGAACCCTAAAGCCCAGCCAGCTTGCAACAGTGGAGTGGGGAGCTACGTGCACCGGGACCGCTGTTGTCAGTTCGCAAAGGCAATGGTCCGATCCTGTCGAAGAGCACCCAGGTTAATGCAATCTACAGGGTGGGGCCCCCTAGTTATAAGTAGAGTTATAAGGGCCCTAAATTGGGTTATAAGGACCCTAAGTTAGGTTATAAGTCCCTTATAACAACAGTTAGTATAGTAAGGGGGCCCCACCCTGTACCTCAGCCCGACAAGAACCCGCAATCATGGCCAGCTGCACGAAATTTCTTGGGACCCTAATTCTGGTGGTCGAAGGATAACTTTAACCCAAAATCCTGAAACCCAAACTCAAATTCCCCCACCCCTGCCCTCTAGGATAGCGAAGAGTCTGCGAGAGCTTGGTCGAAGTCGTCGCCTCCCAAGCGCTCGTCACCGCTGGTGCAAAGCCTCACTCAACACAGACAAGGGCCAAGGTCTTAGGTTTTAAGGCGTCCACTGGCTGCGGTTTAGGGTTTAGGGTTTAGGGTTTAGGGTTTAGGGTTTAGGGTTTAGGGTTTAGGGTTTAGGGTTTAGGGTTTAGGGTTTAGGGTTTAGGGTTTAGGGTTTAGGGTTTAGGGTTTAGGGCTCGGGGTTTAGGGTTTAGCTTGCATAGGGTTTGCCGTCCACTGGCGTGCAGGCTGAAGGGTCTTGCATCGTGTTTCGCATAGGTCCTCTTTCCTGTTGGATCCACGGTCCCTTAGTACGGGCCCTTAAAAGGCGACCCCTCATATACCCCTCATATACCCCTTATATACCATGTAAATCCCCTGGGCCCATAGGAGGTAATTCAGGGACCATGCTAACGGCACATGCAACTCCCCGTAGAATCCACGCCAGAAAGCCATCCTAACCGTCCTAACCTATTCCGTTAAGGGTTTCGGCACAAACTCATCTCAACTGCATGTTTTCAACTGACTTCTCGGGGTCAAACCTGCCTCAGAACCTTCTTTAACACCTTCCAGGAGTTCCAGCGGCTTCTGAAAATTGGGTGCTTACTGTGGGCACCCAGTAGGGGGTTTGCAGGCTTTTAAAACGGCTTAGTTGTCCAGTAACCTGGGGGAATTAAAGGTTAACCTTTGGGATTCTAAGGGGATTCTATTACCCCAAAAAGGTTAGAGAGGGTAAAGTTGTAAGCGTTTACTAACCCCTAAACCTTATTAAATGACTGAAAACTACCCAACAACTCCGCCTCACAACAGTCCTTTCTGAAAGGTTAAAGGTAACCGACTCTACTCCTGGGCTTTTAAAAAGGACTCGTTGGGTTCAGTGCCTTTTATCAGTACCGGCCCCGAGGAGAACATGGTTTGGTATCGGGCACCGGTCTTGGGAGGGGAGAGTTTTCCTACATTGCACTGTGTACCCTAAACCCTAAAACCCTAAACCCTAAACCCTAAACCCTAAACCCTAAAACCCTAAAACCCTATAAAACCCTATAAAACCCTAAAACCCTAAAACCCTAAAAAACCCTAAACCTAAAACCCTAAAACCCTAAAACCCTAAAACCCTAAAACCCTAAAACCCGAAAACCCTAAAACCCTAAAACCCTAAAACCCTAAAACCCTAAAACCCTAAAACCCTAAAACCCTAAAACCCTAAAACCCTAAAACCCTAAAACCCTAAAACCCTGAACCCTAAACCCTAAACCCGAAACCCTACCAAACCCTAAATTCCGAAAATAGGGGCACCCTTTCTGGGGCCCCTTTTAAGGGGATTCTATTCTATTTGGGGTATTAAGGGGGTACCCCTATTTGGGAAATACCCAGATAGGGGCCCTTAATTATTAGAATAGGTTTTTTTTTTTTTTTGGGGGGGGGGGGGGGGTTAGTAGAGTATATTTTTAATTAGGACCCCAAGGGAGAGCCATTAGTAATTGTTCCGACCCCTACAGTAATGTTGTTACCTTCGCATGATGATGTAGACCTTTGGAACTGCCTTAGTGCTGTAGGTTTCTGGGCACATGGGTGGCCACATTCCCCAGCCTACTTCCACTTTGGAAGTATCTCATAAGCAGCGTCTACAGTCCAGACTGACAGCGAGAACACATCCAAGATCACCTAATGTGAGAATCCATGAGGCCTAATTAAACCCCAACGCAACACCGCTTCAGAAGCAAGGCCAATCAAGGCGGATTGCCAAAGATGCACCGATCTTGCTCAGCAGAAAAGTCGCTTAAATGGAGAGCTCTGTATCGAGCCTCATAAATCCTGAGCCCTGAACCTTACGAAGCAAGCTGCGCAGCAGTCACACCGAGGAGCATGTGGATTTCGTCCCACTCCACCCACTTCCGTACAATGCAGACATCAAAGGTTCCGCCACCGAGATCCGCAACAAGGATGTGCTTCAAGGTCGGATCCTGCTGTTTCATCTCAACTTCCTGAGCTGATTGCACGAAGGGTTTGGGGTTTAGGGTTTAGGGTTAGGGTTCAATGGCATGCTTGGTGTCATTCTTCGAAGGAGAAGTCCTTGCTTCACTGTGGCACCTACACAAGAAACAAAAGCTACAGTATGGCGACATGGGGATGTGGCAGTTTTCATGCGGTGCTGCAGCCATCAAGTGCTGACCGGCATATGTGCAAAGCCTCGCTAGCTCTCAGCAGCCGAACTCCCTAAAACATTTGTCCCTAGTTGTCCAGTAACTTGGGGGAATTAAAGGTTAACCTTTGGGATTACAAGGGGATTCTATTCCCCCAAAAAGTTAAAGGTTACCGACTCTACTACTAGGGTCCTCTCACTAGTGCCAGTTACGAACACGCATGCAGGCGCAGGAGTTGAGTGCGTGATAGGCTGGGTGTATAGCTGTTGCCGGCATTGCAGAATCAGAAGGATCTCAACTGCCTCCCCAAACAGACTGCCATGCACACATGCGCATGCATGCAGACAGAAACACACCCTACACAATACATACCCAAACATGCGTGCATGCATATATGCTTGTGCAGACGCTTACATACGTATAAGATGTTTGCCTACATACATACATATTTATATATAGATATATATACATATGATATATAATATAAAAAGAAGAAGAAATTGTACTAGACTATACACTATTCTATTCTATTCTATTCTGTTCTATTCTATTCTATTCTACTCTATTCTATTCTATCTATTGTATCATATTATAAGCAACATAATCTTAATAAAAACAAGAAAAGTTACACAGACTTTGGGAACCCCCGCGTCGATGGCTAGGGTGGCAGTAAATTAGAGAAGGCGCCATGTGCTGCCTCCAGTCTTCTTGAGATGCAGAGTAGGGGTCCTCTTCAATGCCTGACAGTGGATTCCCGGATTCTGGGTTCAGGGTTCAGGGCTCCGGGTTTAGGGTTCAGGGTTGCTGGTTGAGAGTTGCCTACTGGTTCTTACTAGGGAATTTACCCTTTGAGGGACTCTAGACTCTAGAAGCTCCCTACCTCCCTCATTCCCTGCGAAGAATCTGTAGGGTTGGAAGGGTCAAGGGGCCCAAGGACTGGCGAGATGTAGCTTGCAGTCGGGTCTGCGTCCTGCTCAACACTGCTTAACACAGGGTGCATGCTTCGCTCAACGTAGCAGCTGCCAAGCGAACTGCAAGAGCGGGCAGCAACAGTCATGTCTGCTCCAAAGGCCTATATAGCAGAGGTTCCGGGGCTTCTCATGCGGGGCTGGGCCCTGATAGCTGGTAGCCTTTTTGGGATTGGAATAGCTCAGGCCAGTCGACGGTGCCTGCGGGTTCGGGCTGCAAGGTCCGTCTGCGAACAGCTTTCAAACCCAAAATCAAGAAAGCCCAAACGAGCGAAGAAAAGCGCAGGGAACATCCTCGACTTCGATCCTTCCACTACTATTAAAACCCCCTATACCCCCCCCTATATTACCGTCAAAGCTCCCTGTATTGTTACAGTAGGGGACCCTTTACCCTAAACCCTAAACCCTAAACCCTATATAGCTACATTAGGGGTAGAGGAACGTGTAAAAAAAAAAAAACAGAGAGGGAATCAGTGGAAGGCAAAGGCGAGCGTCGTTGCTGGAGATCATCCAGCTCCGCGTTCCCCGCTAAGCCCATGGGCTTCGCGCCCAGGTTCCCGCCGCCTGTAGGGACTCGTTGAACCCTGAACCCTGAACCCTAAACCCTAAACCCTAAACCCTTCGGGTTTGGGGCTTAGGGTTTGTAGGGTTATGGGCTTAGGGTGCATCGTGGTGGTTTCGTCACTGCGGGTACAGTTGTCTGCGATCTGCGCGTGGGAAATGGGGCGAGTGCCACGATTTGCATGTTGACAACTTACCTTCCTCCCCACCTGCCGATCCACCGCAAGAGCATCCTTTGTAGATTCCTAGAAAGCACCAACCCAGGCCAAGGACCTCGACAACCTGTTCTGGACGTACTCTGCATCTCATCCAGGAGATCCATCTAACCCCCTAACTCTAGGTCCTCGCTTTGGGCGCCTCATCCAAAGTATCCTAAGGGATCCATCCACATAGCTTCTGGCTGACCCATTCAAAAGACTTGACACTTCTTCGGAATGCCTCATATAAAGCTGTTCAAAAAAAACTGCTGAAAGGCTCTAGAAAGACTGCGGACTGAAATACAGGGGAAACTACCCACCTGATCCAGTCTACGCCAGAAACCCACGAACAAAACAAGCAACTCTCTCCCGGCCGCCCCGCAAGCCTGAAACAACCCTACACCCTAAACCCTCCGTTGGCCGAACCAAAAGTGGCCTGAAACCCCTTAACCCCGGGCCTAAAACCCGTCCCAGAAAAAAACACTAAAACCCCTAAAACCCCTACAAACCCTAAACCCTTCCTTCGCGGCCTGTAATGATGTGTGCGTTTGGGCTGGCCCGCACGCCGTAGGCCCTGACTGCGAGCTCTGGCTCCGGAATGAGCCGGACCGACGTCAGCCCTGTGGGGGGTTTAGGGTTTAGGGTTTCGGGTTTAGGGTTCAGGGTTTAGGGTTTGGGGTTTAGGGTTTAGGGTTTAGGGTTTAGGTTAAGGGTTTAGGGTTCAGGGTGTACAGGGCTTAGGTTTTAGGGACTTGTGGCTTAAGGTTTTGGGGCATAGAGATGTTTACGGGAGAGATTTTAGGGTCTCTAAAACTGTAGCGCTTGGGCATGTGCATGCAGGGTGTGGGATTACAACGTTTAGGATGGTGTTGGCGCTTTGGACTCTCTCTCTTCACCTCCATGACCTCTGAAGGTTGCGAACCATCACATGGCCAACTCACGCCATCAGTTCGGGAAGAACCCTGTCTATCTCGGCTGCGCAGCTGCGGCCTTATAAGTCCTAGCATCGCAGTTGCGTGTCGTACGTAAGATATCTGCAGGCTTGGACATGCTGCGAGGGCGACTTGTGTGAGCTTGCCCGCCTGCAAGCTTGGCGGAGTACTCAAGCGCGTAACGCTGAGCCTTGGTCCATCGGGCCGGGACGCCTGCGGCGGTCAAAATTCAGAATATATCAGCTTTCTACAAAATGTCTTTGTTGCGCCGTCTGAGTAGCCAGAAACAGCTTGGCATCCCACAGGCAAGGACCAACGTTTGGTCAAAGCCCTGCTCACACAACAAGAGCTGCAGGCGTTTACGCGAGGATCTACAACCCGCCGATACTAGAGGCTATGGGCTTCTATGAAGGGAGCTTCTTCAGGTTCTGTTTGTCATGTGTTTTTTCTCGTTGGGCTTCGGGCATCCGATTTAGGGCTCTCTGGGCAGGTAGTTAAGGTTTAGCGTTTATGATTATTAAACATAACCCTAACCCTAAACCACCCTAAACCACCCTAAACCCTCAACCCTCAACCCTAAACCCTAAACCCATGGATCGTTGGGCCTAGGACAGCCCGCTTGACCGGCTGCTTGAGGTAGAGCTCCGCCACAGACACCAGGGCCTGCACTCTGGGTGTAGGCCAAGGCGCAAGGGAAACCCCATAAAGCCTATAAACCCTTAAAACCCTATAAACCTGAAAAACCCTAAACCCTAAACCCTAAACCCTAAACCCTAAATCCGAAACCCGAAACCCTAAACCCTAAACCCTACATCTTAGCTGGTGTGTGCCACGTCGCCAAGGTTGACTTTTGTAGGTTTTGGAGTTGCCAGATATCCCGCGCCTTGATATCTGCTTGTTGGGGTCCTTGTTACAAGGGAATCCTCCTGCACTACTTGGGGGTCAGTTATAGTATGTCCCCGAATTTCGTAAAGACCCATATATCCGGTGCCTTGATGAGCAGGGCAACAGCCTCCTCTACCTGAATGAGCTGCCCGCCTGATCAGATGCGCGTTCGCGCATCGAGCTGTGCTTGAGGAGAGGGCATGGGAGGGCTCAGGGTTTAGGGTTTGGGGTTCAGGGTTAGGTTGTGGTTTTAAAGGCTCAGGGCTTACGGTTCTATAGATGGTTCCTAGCTGGTTGTGAATTAGGGTTTAGGGTTGAGGGTTAAGGGCAAGGGTTGAAATTGAACAACCTGCGCGTCGGCCAGGCGGGCCTGGAAGACGCAATCGAATGAGCTCGTTGGCCTTGCCGGCTGAAGCTCACGACAAGAAAACGGTTGGGGAAGGAGTTTCGGGTTCAGGTTGGGATTGCTATTTAAGAGCCGCTGACGCAGGGCGGAATACGCCAAGCTCTCAGCACGCAAAGAGATGCCGATTCTGAACCACGCAGAGACAAGTATGACGCTGAACCTCTATCCTGTCTGGTATCGTCTTCTTAGGTTTCGCACTCGCAGGTATGAGTGTGGATGCGTCCAAACTTCTCAATTCGACCAGACACGAGAGTGGGATGGTGACCCTTTATGCGGCCTAAACCGTAAACCGTAAACCCTAAACCCTGAACCCTAAACTGCTAAACCCAAAAACTTTAAACTACATCGGATGTAGTACATCCTCTGCTGCCTCAAACCCAACAGAATCCCCGACAATCCCGACCTTGCCCGCAGGATCTGCGCCGAGGGAACTGGGTGAAACACCCACTGCATGGGCCTTGCGACGGGGGGGGGGGCTGTCGGGGGGAAGCCGGGTTCGGGGTTTGGGTTTAGGGTTTAGGGTTTAGGATTTAGGGTTTAGGGTTTAGGATTTAGGCTTGAAGGTTTAGGGTTTACGGTTCAGGATTTAGGATGTATGTCCTGGATGATCGACTTTGTTTGCAACTCAGACTCTTGCTTTGTCTCCTCTCCGCATTGCCTCTGAAGAACGCACCACGTATCTTTTCCTAACTATACCTTTACAGAAATAATATCATATGCATGACACATGTTACATATTACAAACAGCAGCTTGCATCTTGCATCAGAAACCATCTTGCGTAGTTGCATATACATACGCATGTACGAATACATGTACATACAACGTACATCAGGCATGCGATGATCCGGACAGTGCGAAGTTGTACAATCATACGATGTTAGAAGACGAATACACGATAGTCTGCTAGAATACGCTGTAACAATACATATGATGTACAACTGCATAAGATGACAGATGCTCATACTGCAATATACCATCATACACCGTAAAATACTGTCATATGCTATAGCACACTATAAAATGTCATACCATCATGGACGATAATCTTTGTGAAGCAACTTCGACACTATAATCATGCATGATATGCTACACGATTGCAACAGGTGGCTCAGATGCAGGGCTATACTTTGTGGCCCGGGGATTTATACAGGGGCTTCGGGGCTGTAGACCCTATAAAGGGCCTTTTCAGGGGTTATACGGCATAAAAGCCCGTCCTGGTAGGGAGTTGCGGGAATTAACTGAGAGGACAAACGGCCCGGCCTCCACGTAGGTCCGGCCGAGCAGCCGCTTCAGCGATCGAAAAACCCTTGGTCAGGAACTGCTTCCACTCTCTTAGGGTTTAGGGTTTAGGGTTTGTTTAGGGTGGGCCGTAAGGCCCTATAATCCCCAGAATCAACCCTATAAAGGGCCTTTTTGAGGGGTCATGGGGTAGAATAGCCTTCCTGGTTAATAGAGAGAAAGAAAACTTTGCCATAAGCTCGCCTCCGGGGCGTGCTCAAGGCCACCTAGGCCTCGCGAAACCCTCTTCCAGCTAGGACGAAAGAAAAAATCCCTTGTGGAAAGCTGACAAAGCGGAATGCCACTAGCATCTAGTACACACATCAGCAGTACTCCACATCTAAGCCACCTAAAAATTAGGACGAAGTGTGAGGCCACCCACTACAAGCAGGCGGTTTAGGGTTTCGGGTTTAGGGTTTAGGGTTTTTCGCCTTTGCGAAGGGCATTGCTGACCTGACCTACGAATGACCAGCTAACTACGGCGCCCCACCAGCTTCAAGATTGCGTCCCTAAACCCTAAACCCTAAACCCTAAACCCTAAACCCTAAACCCTAAACCCTAAACCCTAAACCCTAAACCCTAAACCCTAAAGCCCTAAGCCCTAAACCCTAAACCCTAAACCCCATGGGCTTCGGACCCGGCCGAGCCTTGGGGCTTCCTCCGGAACTTAAGAAGCATGCTGCATGTTAAACACGGCGTCGTATAAAGAGCTACTCCTCTGACGGCAGGGGGAGTACTGGAGTCGCCTCAGGACGCAAGGAACTCCATTGCTTTTACTGAGGGACCATGGTGTATATCTATACATGATTTTTAATGTATGCGTGTACTCGTCATATTCATTAAGGTTAAGGAACTCTGGATCAGCTGTCGTCCACTCGTGATCAGGAACCATGGGACTTAACACCCTAAACCCAAAACCCAGACCCAAAATCCCAAACCCAAAGCCCTAAACCCTAAACCCTCAACCCTCAACCCTAGACCGTAAACATCCGTAAACCCTAAACTCTGATTCCATGACCATCACCAGCCGGGAGTCACTTGCTTCACGCCGTCAGAGCGGACGCGGGAGGCCTGGAGGCCTCGGGCGTTCGCAGTTTTTAGGGTTTAGGGTTTCGGGTTGAGGGGTTCAGGGGCTTAGGGATTAAGGTTTAGGGTTGAGGGCTTAGGGGCTAGGGTTTAGGGTTTAGGGTTTCGCGTTGAGGGTTTAGGGGCTCAGGGTTAAAGGGGGTTCAGGGGTTTAGCAGTTCAGGGTTTAGGGGTTTAGGGGTTCAGGGGGTTAGGGTTTAGGGTTTAGGGTTTAGGGTTTAGGGTTTAGGGTTTAGGGTTTAGGGTTTAGGGTTTAGGGTTTAGGGTTTAGGGTTTAGGGTTTAGGTTTTAGGTTTTAGGGTTTAGGTTTTAGGGTTTAGGGATGGAAGGTTGGCACGGGAGGTCCCCGAAACCCGCGAAGTTCTGGCTATCCGCGCCTATACCTGGCGAGTTCAGGCAACAAGCCGCATGTAATGGTTCTCGGCCGGCCCCCTGAAACAAGTCCTAAACATTCCTAAACCCTAAACCCTAAACCCGAAACCCTAAACCCTAAACCCCTAAACCCTAACCCTAAACCCTAAACCACAGCAGCTGCTGGGAACTTGCTTCTCCCCCGTGGCCTGCCACGGAGTTGCCCCTCGAGTTGAACGCCACGAGGGAGGGCATCGTGGGACGCCCAGGGGGAGCACCTCGTGATCGGCTGCTGCCGAGGCTTCGAGGTTTTAGGGTTTAGGGTTTAGGGTTCAGGGTTTAGGGTTTTTTTTACAGTGGGTCAACAGCTTCCTTCAAGCGAGATTTTTTCTATACAGGGGCGCAAAACGGCTAGAGCCGAAACCCTAAACTGTGAGCTGTTCTTTTTACAAACACCTCACCTAACAGGTTAAAGGTTGCCTTGCCTATCTTTCAAAGCGTACGACAGAGGCCATGCTTTCGATTCACTGCCACCACCGCTGATGCAACCCTAACTTGATTGCTGATCTTGGCAGCTTGGGGGCTGCCCTAAGCCCTCAGCCCGAAGCCTGAAGGCCCAAACCCTAAGACCTAAGCCCTCAGCCCGAAGCCCTCAGGCCCGAAGCCTGAAGCCCCAAACCCCTAAGACCTAAGCCCCCCCCCACCCCCCTTAATCTCAAAACATTCAAGGCCCAGCCTTGCAAAAACCCTGAGCCCTCTCAGCATGAAACCCCTGAACATCTCGAGCCCTGCAAGGCCCTTCACCCCAAAATGCCTCGCCCATTCTACACCCTAAACCCGAAACCCTAAACCCGAAACCCTAAACCCTAAACCCGAAACCCTAAACCCGAAACCCTAAACCCTTAACCCTACAAAACAGAAACTAAGCCCTAAACCCTCAACCTTCCCTGCCTGGAGGAGGCACAACTACGAAGCGGCCATCAGCACGCCGGACAGCCACTGCTGAGTTGGTAGTGCCGATATCCAAGCCGACGGCGGGTGCGCTCGTCTCCTGTTAGGGTTTAGGGTTTAGGGTTTGGGGTTTAGGGTTTAGGGTGTGGGTTTAGGGTTTAGGGTTTAGGGTTTAGGGTTTAGGGCTTAGGGCTTAGGGTTTAGGGTTTAGGGTTTAGGGTTTAGGGTTTAGGGTTTAGGGTTTAGGGTTTAGGGTTTAGGGTTTAGGGTGACTTCGGGTAGCTTAGGATATTCCAGTTTAGGGTTTAGGGTGATAGGGTGGCTTTGGGAAGTTTGGATACTTGAGGAGGGTTCAGGGTTTTGGGTCGGAGCCTGCCAGGTTCTGCCCGAAACCCTGAAGCCCTAAACGCCCTGAAGAACCCTAAACCCTAAACCCTCAAACCCTAAACCCTAAACCCTATAAACCCTAAACCCCAAACCCTAAACCCTAAACCCCAAAACCCCTTTAAACAAAAAAAAAAGGCCGCTACGCTCCACCGCCTCCTCCGCTCGTCGCGCCACCCGAGGGTGGCGAGCTGCCCCACTGCCGAGGAAGGCCTGCGAAGTAGGGGGTTTAGGGTTTAGGGTTTAGGGTTTAGGGTTTAGGGTTTAGGGTTTAGGGTTTAGGGTTTAGGGTCAAGGTTTAGGGCCCTTTCAACCCTCTAAGAGTCTACATGGTCCCTTCGTAGGGGCCCTTAGAAGGGTGCCCCTCATATACCACTTATATACCCTATACAAACTAAGGGGAGGTTAGGGACCATACGAAGGGCCCAGGAAACTACCCTCAGAAACCTCTAGGACCCTACACCCGAAACCTAAAAAATCTGCACCCGAAACCCTCAGCCCTCAACCCTAAACAAACCCTCCACCCCAAAAAACCGTAAGCTCTAAACCGTACAAGCATGCACCCTAAACCCTAAACCCTAAACCCTCAACCCTAAACCCTAACCCCTAAACCCTACACCCTAAACCCTAAACCCTACACCCTAAACCCTAAACCCTAAACCCCAAACCCTAAACCCTAAACCCTGTAAAAGCATGCACCCTACTCAGCCCTAGAGCCTATAAGCCTGAGAACCCGAAACCTTCGCCTCTGAAACCCGGCATAAGCCTACACTTGCGGCCCCAGAAAGTGGTAGTGCCCTAATAAGCCTGGAGCCCTAAACCCTAAACCCTAAACCCTAAACCCTAAACCCTAAACCCTAAACCCTAAACCCTAAACCCGAACAAGGGAACATCCTACCAAAGGAACACTCTACAAGGACACCTCAAGGGTGGGGCACATCGCGGCTTTCAGAACTCGCCGCCTGGGTAAGTGGAGGAGCCGCGATGATGAGTAGGAGCCATGGCATGCACCTTTTATGCGTTGCTTTCTTTTGGGGAGGGAAACCCTAGGGTTCAGGGTTTAGGGTTTAGGGTTTGGGGTTTGGGGTTTAGGGTTTAAGGTTGAGAGATTTTAGGGGTCTCTGCGACAAGCAGAGGTACCCAGTTTTGTGGCGAGTGAGGATTCTTGCATTTGGGGGTAGATTCCGGGAACCCCGAACACTTTTGGAATACTCAATTGCCCTAAACCCTTAAACCCTAAACCCTGTACAAACTCGCGCTGGTGCTTCAGAGCTTTTGGTCTTGACTTGGGAAAGTTCCCGGGGTCCTTCAGAAAGCTACCTGGGCCCCGTTAAATCCCTCTAAGAGAAGCTCCTGTTTTTCGGGTTTAGGGTTTAGGGCTTAGGGTTTAGGGTTAAGGGATCTTTTCTCGGGTTTAGGGTTTAGGGTCTAGGGTTCAAGCTTCAGGAACTTCACACGCAGTGACAAGGCAAGCCTAAACACTCAACCACTTACGGCGTGGCCTTTTCCAGCGAGAACCGTGCTTCTGGTGCATGACGTCGCCATGGCGCATTCTGCTCTGCAGGGTTGAAGCTCCGCAGGGTTGAAGGTTTCAGAGCTGACTCTGGGCCCTCAAAATCTCCCGCTGAACAAACCTTCCCGAAGAGATGATCTCTACTACGACCCAAGAAGGGGACGTACAAAAACATGTCCCAAGGTTTCACCTACTACTTTGGGAAAAACGCACATATAACCCTAGCATGTGCTCTCAGCCATCCGGCTGCAAAGTTCTGTACAAGGATAGCAGCGGCTTGGAGTTAGGGGTTGGGGGCTTGAGCATCTGGAATGTCTGATTCGTCTTTAAAGTGCGCAAGCCTATAAGCGTGGGCTTGTAAAGCTTGGGGTTCTGGAGTGCTAGAATGCTAGAATCTACAAAAACATCTGGAATGCTTGTGGAGAAGCTGTTCAGGCAACTGTCAGCATTGCCTGTATTGCTGAGCCAGCAGCTGCTCGAGGTAGAACGCCACGCTCCGCGGCATCTGCTTGTGCCCATGTGACCCTACTTCCAGGGACAAACTGATTGTGCCCTTCGGTTCTAGCAACGTAATATGACTTCATTAGCAGGTCCCTGGAAGTATGGGGGTGATCTGTAACTACCTACAATGTTGAAAGGGTCTACAGCAACCGCAATGCGAAGTGCAGTTGTAGCAAGACATATATGTAATCACAGGTTGTCGCAGGCATTGTATGCCGGGAGCTGCTACAACACATCATTGGAGCACTTTTGATAAACACTGAATACTGCACATGCGTGCGAGGATGCAAGCATTACTGACTTATGCCTGACTCATACCGAATCCCAGTACATCGTGCGTGGAGCATGTCACTGCCACACCACTCCATACTCGAGTGCACGACAACTGGAAAAAAAAACCTTTTCTTAAAACAAAAAAAGCTTGCACATACAGATCGGACTCTGCATCCTACACTGAGTAGAGCACACAACAAGCAATGCGTGGTATTGCACGGTCTGTCGTCCAGGACGGATTCCAGCACCACTCCGTTAGCCACGTCCATGCAGCCATTCAATGGCAGAAGAGGGGGGTCTTCCAGTCAATATGCGTGCTTATCCTATGTACTTGACGTTCTCTGCACGAAGTCCTAGTTTCATGAAGCCACAGGACATGCATCGCTTTTTCACGCATCCGCTGCGAGACTATGCTCATGTGCAGGCTAGCCAGCTGATTTGTAAGTCCCAAAGGTTTAAAGTTGAAAACCCTGCCTCACCAAGTGATGCCGCTGCCTTGACTGCTATGCCTAAATCCCCGAAGTACGCAAAATAACGGTCCTTCTATGGGTTTTGGGCTAGTTCTTTGCATACTTTGGGGGGTCCAGCTGTGAGGTTTTGGGGGGAGCATTCGGGGGCT